AAGCAGCAATGAAGTTTGTGTTTTTTTATGTGTGAGAGAGAGAGAGAGGGCTCGAATAACGATAATAACTGCCTACCTGCCACAAACAACATTACTTCAAAGATAAAACAGAGGAATTCAATAGACGCCCCCCCCCCCCCCAAAAAAAAAAAAAACTAAAACAGGAACATAAACAAACTAAGAATCGTGAGGGAAATTTGATTATATCATAGAGGCAAATCCAGATCAAAACTATCGGCGTAGCCACCCAATTTAACCACCCTTTGTTCTTCATGTACACCTCCTTTGCACCTCCCTCCACCGCCGCCTCGGACTTCCCTCCTTTTGAACTTCGTCGTCCCCGTTTCTTCTTCGTGTTCTTCGACTATGGCGGTTCTGTCGTTTTCATATCCTTCTTCACCATCTTTATTATTATCGTTTTCATTTTCTTTGTCGGTTGTTTCTTCTTTATAGTCAATACTGGAAGTGGAATCTTTGAAAATGGAGAGTCGAAGGCGGCCATCGCTTCGTTCAGCTCGGAAGATAGAGTTGTTATACGGGGCCTTCACGGCTTTTATTACCAACCTTCCGTTTTCGCGGAGAGGCCGAACTCGAATCGATTCCGATCCGGTTATCGTCGTCAGCGGAGGCGGGAAATCGCCGCCGATTGCTTTCTTACCTCCTAATACTCGTCGTGACTCGTCTTGTTTCCGTGTCGAACGATTCCCGCTTGGTCGATTCGATGAAGACGACGACGAGAAAACGCGGTCGTCTTCTTCGAGGACATCGTCACTGCCTGTCTCGCTACCCAAATTCTCCGTGCACAACTCCAATCTTTTATCACTCCAAGCAGACAAAGGACGAACATAAGCATTTTCATTCCCTTCTATATCTTTCGACGGCCGAGGACCGTCGAAGAGAGCTTGGAGTAAACTCCAGCCACCCGGTTCAGGACTCGAATGAACGGAAAATGACTTACTTGCCAACTCGAGAGACGATGGGGAGGAATGGGGTCTCGACGAAAATAACGTTAGCCTCAAAGCTCTAGGTTCGATTATATGAGACTCGAGACACGACTGCCGGCCTTGGTGGTGGTGGTGGCAAACGATGGTCGCCATAATACAGAGGAAAACACAAACTTGAAAGTGTTGGGAGATGAGGTAATGAGGAGGGAGTGGAGGTGTGAATTTGTAGTACTCACAAAGTGACACCACTTGGATTATACAACTCTTAAATCTGCCACAGCACACACAGGTAAAAGGGAACAAAGAAAACGAGTGGAATTCTAATGTCACCAATGAATTTATTCACTAAAATTATCTCATGGGGTACAAATGTTTTTTCGTTGCTCAAGTTTTAAGGTTTCAACTTGATTAATTTAAATTAACTTACGTCGTATAGCTGATTTTGATAAATGAGTCTCCCGATATGGGTTTTCTGTGTGCACTCGACAATCATATCCTTATCTTGGGTGTGAATACATTGCTCTAAATTTACTAACCTCCTTATTTTTTATTTTTCTCTTTGGGTAAAAAACACTAGAGGTCATTGGACTATACTCAAATAGTTATTTTGGCTACTTAACTTTGACAAATTATAAAATAATATTAAATTCATCAAATTGTTAAAAAACGAGTCAATGTGATATAATAATTGTAAATTTCAATAAATTTAATGATTATTTAAAAAAAAATAAAGATAAGTTATTAAAATGATCATTTGAACATAGTTCAATAACCTCTATCATATTTAACCATTTATCTTTCCTTTCCAAAAAAGAGACTAAAAAGGGGTGTAGGGTGTGGAGGATTCTCCAAAATATTTATTGTTACTATGATTGTGTTCCTTTTTTCCCCCTCTTTACATTTATTCAATGTACTTTCAAATATACAGTTGGTCTAGTGGGATGAGACATTAGGTCTCTTAAGCAAGATCAGGTGTTCAAATCATAGCGTTTGTGAATGGAGAAAACTGGGTTGGGAGGGTCGCCCTCACCTCTGTAGTACCCGATCTGAATCAGTCAGTTAATAGATAGGATACCAGTGATTAATTCAAAAAAGTCAGATCAAACTATTGAATGAGAAGTAAAATTTTAATTAAATTATTTATTTATTCATAAAATTCGAGCTTAAAACTTTGTTTAAAGAAGTTAGGAACTTATTATAACTCGACCAAGGGCCAAATATAAATCTTTATCATATTATTGAATTAGGAGTCCAATGAGGAATTTCATCATTTTATTAACTAAAAGCTGTATAATTGGAGGATTAAAAGAACAATTATACCAAACCATTGGGACCAAAGACTCCGCGTTTCATGTATGGTTCATACGTTTCATGAGTCAAACACCTAAGTTGATTACACTCAAAAAGGAGGAATAATATTACGTACCATCAGCGGTCAGCCCACGGCCTTTGAATTTTCCAGTAACTAAAGTTACCGAAATAGACATGAGTTCCAGCAGACCAAGACAATACCCTCCATGTCCCCAACACACCTACATCATGAAGGGCAATTTTGTCAAATAAAAAGGTTTTAAGACCCCCTTGAAAGGTGTTTGGAGACCGACAGCCTCCGACCCCGCTATGGAAATACAAATACATGGCAAATCCAAGTGAGTCCCACAAGACAAAGTTATTCAAACATAGGTCATGTTCACTCCACATCTTTTCACAGTTACCATTCATTCTTGATGGAGTGTACGTTCAAAGAATGTACTTGTTTTCCGTTGTGTAATTGAATCTTTAGTTTAATTTTTTTTAGGATGTCAATTAAGTTTCGAATCGAATCAGGTCGAATTTCACTTTTGAAAGATTAGTTAATGTTTTTGTTATATCTATAAGACTCAGATTCAAGATCATATTGACTTAATCGACTTTAATCTTAAAAACTAAATTGCTTAAACTTTTTATTAAAACCGACCTAATCGATCAACTATGGATGAACATGGGTCGGATTGGATCATGTTTTTAATCCAATCAAACTCGATCTAAATATTTTCACATGTCATTTAATCTGGATTTAGAGAGGTTTTATCCGACTCAAAATTCGTTTCGATTTTCGTTCCCTGTCCGGCCATAAATGACATGATTCACCACTAACTCACCCGTTTTAGTTTTGTCGTCTAGGTGCTCAACTGTGAATGCCAAATGTAGAATCCCTCCCTCTTGATTTATTAAAATCACCAAAACTAATCAACACTAGCCCATGTGTGTGACCTACCCTAACAAAGCTTAAACAAATGTCAAATGGGATCTCACAAGCTTACAAAAATCCCATGTTCAATCATCTTTCTCATTTGAATGAGGGGTTATAAATGATCGTATCACGAGATTTTCGAGTCAAATTTAAACAGAATTCAGATCACGAATTCTAACACATATTTTATGTTTTTGTTGAGTTTCTAGAAATTGAGAGCAAAACAAAGGAAACTAGTTCTCCTGATTGTGATTTTGAACATCAACACCACCATGTACCCATCCACTGTATAATAAGTTACACTTGTTACCTTTTTGTGATTACACATTCATGAACAATCACACATTTTTGTACACATTTATTTTATTGTCCCTTTTTTATTGGTCTTAGATCACATACTTCAACTAATTTTGAGTCGAGTCGAGTCGAGTCGAGTCATATTTACATATAGAATAGGATATGCAAATTTAGATCCATCTCCTTTGGGGTGGTTTATAGAGCGTTTAAAAAAGGGTAGTTGCAAGCATTTGGTTTCTTTAATAGGCAAAGAAAGCAAGTAAAGAGTGGATGCAAGGCAAAGATGTTTACTCCATTTAGTGAATGAGATCCACCATTATTGTAGGCCTTAACTTTTAGACACTTGTCAAGTTGCCCTCATTACATCATTTCCCAAACAACCAAAAACTATTATTAATTACTCAAAATTAGGGGGGAAAGGCATTTAGACCAACAAACAGTTGGTCTAGTGGGATGAGATATTAGGTCCCTTAAGCAAGATCATGAGTTCGAATCCTAGCATTTGCGAATGAAGCAAACTGGGTGGGAGGGTCGCCCTCGCCTCTGTAGTACCCAATTTTGGATTAGTCGATCAATAGATCGGATATCAATGATTAATTAAAAAAAGAATAAAAAAAAAGAAAAAAGGCATATGGAAAAGGCAACCTTCAATGGAGTATATATTATGTAGCTATGTGGTCCTTTACTATTCTCTATTATAAGGAGGATCAAATTTTCTACTTTTAATAAAATTTGATTTGATTAGGTCATTTTTTTAATTTAAAGGCTTATATAACAAGCAAGTACCTAAAGTATGTCTTTTTTTTTTTCATTTAAGCACCTATTTAGGTATCTATTTTGATCAAAAAGTACATTAGGTACTTATTTTGACTAAAAAATACTTTAAATACTTAAATGAAAAAACATATACTTTAGATACTTATTTGTGATATAAGCCTAATTTATATTGTGTGAAAGAAATAATCAAAATCAGAGCCAAATTAAATTAAAGATAAAAAATCCTCAATCTAAATCAATATTATTACTATAACTCCCTCTCTGTATATTTAAAATAATTATTATAATATTTCGTTATAGATTTTTTTATTAATCTGAGATAAGTACGAGGCATTTCGATATTGAATGTCCACACCTCTGGTATCAATGGTGCTCGAACTCGGATTCTCAAGAAATAACAACAATTCTTTTGCCACAGAAGTCACTTGGTTTTTTTCATTTAGTCCTCGAACTTTTAATATTCTACTTTCATCCCTCTAACTATAACTTTTATTTTAAATTAGTCCATAAACTTTTGAACATTCCAAATTCATCCTAAACTATGACCTCTCATTCTATACGGATCTCCAAACTTCTGATATTTCAATTTCATCCCCAAACCTTTGAATGATTTTGGAGGATGTTATTAGAATGTTCAAAAGTTTATAGATCAAATTAAAACAAGGATCATAATTTGAGTATCAAATTGATTGTTTTTAAAAGTTTAATCATTTTTTATAGAAAATTGGTTACCTTAGTAACCTTTGGGAGGTGTAAATGAGCAGTCTTTTCGGCCCTCCCGGGGACCAAAAAACAAGTTTTATTTATTAGGTGTGCTTAAAAAGGACAGAGCATAATATTTACATCAGAATCACTCTGATTTCTTAATTCCATGCCCTTTTGTGACAGAGAGGGGGAATGCAGTTTCTTGCATCAGCATCCACCCCTTTTTTGTTCACTAAAATATTAAAATGTTATGAATTATGCCATTTTAATAATAAGCACGTCAAACTTTTATTCCACTTCCATCATTTGCTTAAGTAAATATACGAAATATTAATTTAAAGGTTTATTCGAAATAAATTTGATACAATAATATCAATGTTCGGAAAAAAATAACTAAAATAATATCAACATAAAATAAGACATACATAAGAGATAAGATATAACGTGGTTCAGTCTTGTCTACTTTCATGGGTGAGATGAACGATAATCAACTATAAACGTAGATAATACAAAAAGTAAAATATATGGTATCACATATATCCCAAAACACAATATAGATACCAAAATCCGATATATATAAAAACACTCTTCCAACATCCCTACAAAACTATATATATAACATTAACCCTAAAAGTTACAAAAATTCCGAAAAAATATTACATTTTTCCAAAACAATTCTCTTCCACATAATCTTAAAGGCTAACATATAATCTCTGGTATCCGATCTATTGACCGATTAATCCAGATCGAGTATTGTAGAAGAACCCAGTTTACTCTATTCGTAAACTCCAGAAATTCGAACATTTGACATTGCTTTTAGGGACCTAGTGCCTCATCTTACAAGATTCATTGGCTGTTGGTGTAAAGTTCATTATTTTAATCATATGATTGTTTGTTTTTATTTCAGTAAAAGTAACATGACCATTAACCAAGAGTACGTCATGTCTCCTTGGCATCAAGTGGGAGCCTAAAGTTAAATGATATAAATATAAATTTGCCCTAACCCTAATTATTAAACTAATGACCTTTTAAGAAAGACGAGAATCCAATTCACAGCTGAAGTAAGCACCTTGCTTAAGCCTTTTGGACAACCATTAACACTTTTTTAATGTATTTTTTTAAGCTAAAACAAAGGAGAGCAAGACGGCGGAGACAACGTAGTTAATCCATGCAAACATGTTATAAAACCAGTGGTCAGTTCATCACTAACTGCAAATAAATTAATGCATTGAGCCCATGAAACTACCTTTTACATTGTATATGAACATGAACATCACA